AAACAAAAATGATTTTAAAATAACAGTTGCTTTTGAAAATGAGAACTGTGTTTAAAACCTAAAGTTTTAAGGGTGCCTGTACATGCACTGTAGTTGCAGCATTTCAGAGCAGACTCGATTGATCAAGCATGCTGGAGGGTAGTAATTACCATGCTCCAGCAGCCTCCCATATCTCGTGTATCAGTGTTCCCATGCTTCAAAATGGCTCGCTGAACAAGCTTTAGTTCAAACTCCCCCACTGCCATTTTGAAGCATGGGGACACTGATGCATTGGATGCAGCGGCACTTTAATTGGAGCAGCACTCAGTCCCGCTCTAATTAAAGTGCCCCCCCCCCCCATAGCAAGTGTAAAAGTGCCCTAAATGCTTTCTTTTTTTAAATAAAAAAAACCCCCAAGAAGTATATATTTACAACCAAAGTTTTTTAAAGAATGTGAGATCAGTGAACAGGGGAAAATGAGCCAAGCCTGTGGAACCAGATTCCGATGGCAGTAGTATTTTCTTCAGGTATAAGCAGAACACTTTCTTCATTTTGGTGTATTTAGCTAGTTCAGTGCAATGACTAGCTCATTCCAAGGTGAGAAATATATTTGGAGTTGAAAAGGAAGGCTTATTTCCTCTAGGAACTTACTGAATAAAGACGAGGTATGAGGTGATAAGATCTACTACTTCTAAAATCATAATGATCGCGGTAGCCAAAATCAATCAGTTGAGTTCTCCAACTACAGTATTTCCCTTGTTTTAATGAATCATTTAGTTTTAAATACAAAACTTGTTTTGATAAATTAACTTTTTTCACACTTATCAAACACATGTAGGGTCATATTAATTAGTGAATAAATACATTTTTTAAATAGCCTTTAATAAATTTTAAGTGAATAATACCCATCCACATAGTTTGGCATAAATCATAAGTAAAAATTTAATCATTCTGTTAACGATGTATCTTATATCAGTTTCTAACATAATTAAAAAGCTGCAGATGTTAAGAATTTGAATAAATGCACATGAAGCTATATGATTTTTAAATCAATAGATATATTGCATCCTCCAAGTTAGTAAAAGGTAACATGAAATTATACTAGCCAAAGAATCTTTTTTTTTTTTCCTTAAGGAAAATCTCTAAAAGATGCAAACTTAAAAAAAAATATATATTAAAATGAAAGTTTCCTGTGTGCTGATTTACAAGTTGGTCCATCCTGAAAAGCACCATTAAAAAATATTAAAAACACCACACAAAAAGAGTTTTTGCCCTGCCCCAAGTGGCTGGAATGTTTTAGGGCAAATAAACAAAGATAGTTAAAAATTGGACAGTTATTTGTTTTTTGTTTTTGGCAGACAGTTTAAGAGCAGCTGCGTGCTGAGACTGTCTTCCTTTCTCACATGATATAGAAGGAACCTTGATTGAATGTTTTAAATGTGTCCAACCTAAGAATTCTGCTCCTGGAGTTGGTGCAGTCTTGGGCCGCCTATACACATACATTGAGGCTGCACCAACGCGCTGTAATTACAATGTGTTGGAGCAGACTTGATTAATTGAGTCTGCTGTAGCATTGTAATTTCTGTGCTCCAGCAGACTCCAGTGTCGTATGTCAGCATCCCTGCACTGAAAAATGGTGTTGGGGGGCACTTTTAACTACAGCTTGTTCGGGCTTTAGTTAAAGTGCCCCTGCCACCATTTTTCAGCGTGGGGACGTTGATGCACATTACTCTTTGGATTCTTTAATTAGAGTGGCTCTCGGAGCCACTCTAATTAAAGCGCCCACCTCCCAGAGCATGTCTATAAACGCCCTTAGACTTTATTCAAGAATATATGAAGAAATACCAGCAGAAATGTTTGTGTCCCTTTTCTTATGACAAAGTCCTTAATTCAGTTGTGCTGCATTTGTAAGCTCACATACCCTGGGAATCACATTTGCTTTTATTTACTGCTTGCTGAAAATAGAAACTAAGAAAAATAGTCACATGGGAGCTATTCAGTCCTACTGTATGCTGTGCTCTGCTTCTTTCCCTTTTTAATGCTTCTTTTAAGTAAGGGCCATCAGCCTTGTTCCTCTCCCCTGGCAACAGAGCACGTTAACATGGCCAGATGCATGCAGAATGTGCAAGCTAGAATATACTGTACTGCATTGTATTGCATTGTAACCTCGGCTATTTCTAGGTGCGCTGACCTGGTGAGGAATTCCGCTTGTTTTGGGATTAAAAGAACCTTGCTTTCTTCTTATGTTTCTCATAGTCTAGGTAGCGTTTATCCTAAGAAAGGCTGACACACAAAGATTTTCAGGGTAAATATGCACCTTTAGGTTAGAAACAGAAATTACACACAAACTGATGTAGGTGACTGGAAACTGGTTCAAATATGTAACACAGGAAAAGTTCAGTGCACATAAACTGCTTTCAAAATGGCCAAAACCTATTTAAGATTAACCTGAATGGATGTAGTATTAGACTTAACCCATTTAGATTAAAGCGGTTTATTGAGCTTCTGCCCCAGATCCCCTCCAGATTCAAGATAACTCCCAGTTCCACAGCATCCCAGAATACTTTGCACCTCCCCCCTCTTTGCAGGGTGGGTAGGCTAGCTTTGGCCCAACTGTATAATCCATCTGAGCAGGGAGGTGTGCAATAGTGCTCCCCAATTTCTGGTCTGGGCTGCTGCAGGCATGTGGCTGCATTTCCAGAATCAAAAGTAAATGTCTATTCACTTGCTTCTGGTTCAATCTATGCAGCTTCAACTAATCTGTGAAGATTGAATCTGTTCAGCCTCTGGCCTTTTGACTGTTTGTACTTAGCCCTATAGACTAACTAAATAAGATTATTTATATTCGTGGAGCACAAACTTTCATGAATCCCAGTTCACTTCATCAGATGCTTGGGTTCATGAAAGCTTGTGCTCTCTTGTATGCGATCTTATTTAGTTAGTCTGTAAAGGTGCATAATCTACCCTGCCTTCTGACTGACTTCAAACTAACATGGCTAACTACTTCTTCAGGCAAAGATTTTTACATACCTGGACAATCTTCCCTGTAACTGCGTTTTAAGTGTTCTTTTGCTGAGAAACCCTCAACATTCTCTTGAATGACAGAATGAAAATAAGGCGCATCCTTTTCTCTCTCAACTTTTGTAAAGCCTTTCTTAAAATCTTTTAGTAGTCACTTCCTGACTAGGAGAACAGTCATTCCTATCACTACAGTTCATACCAAAGCTTGTCCTATACCATCCTCTATGAATGGGATAGACGATGCAAAATATACCTGTGCCTTGGTTTGCATCAGGAAAGGAAGCCCTGGTATTACCTGAGCCATGAGTCTCTGACGGAAAATCTGTTAAGTGAGGTTCCCCCCAACCCCAGTGCAAGGACTTTTTTCTTTAGTCTGCCTTTGTCTGCTTTCCTTAATCTAATTAATATACAAAGAAATTATATATTTAACTTGGGGGGGGGGGGGAGAACTCATCCTACTAAAGAGAGGTAGTTGGGGAAAAGACCTGATTTATCATAAAAGGGCCCTGTTAAAATAGAAAGTCTTCCAGCGTAGGCTTACCCCCACCTTTGTAAACCCACTTGTTAGTTGCTTTAGGTTTTAAACTGTTGATGTTTTTGGTCTTTGCTATGGCAAGCATTCAAAGTTTACTTAGGAAGAATAATTCTGGCACAGACTTTTGGTTTGCATGGGTGGAGTCAACCCAGTAGTTCTCTGGACTGGAGGATTTCCTGTTATGAGAAGACATTTATGATAAGAGTTAGTTATGGTTGTTTGCTTCTTTTTAGCAGGAAGTATTATATATCTCTTTTGCAGCAACAACCACAGTCTTCATTCCAAACATCTTTTAGAATAAGCAAAACAGACAAAGACAGATTTAAGAAAAAATATCCTGAGGGAGCAAAGATATGCTAGTCAGTAAGCACTGCTTCCTAAACCTTTTATAGCTGTACCCCTACCTGTTAGGCCAGTTTCTTGTAGTTAAAGAGAGAGCAGAAAGGAAATGGGATGAAACACTGCCGTTTCCTTCTCATCAATGGAATATGTATACATACTGAAATATTCCTGGTTAGCAGTGACCTCACTGGAGGGGCATTTAACTGTAACTCTATATTTTATATCTTTTGATGTGACGTTAAATCCTATCCTATCAATTAAAATCTAACCCTAGTTGTTTACTGATACCAACGTTTGCTGGCATTTTAATGTTGATCAGATATTCCTTTAGTGTGGTAACTCAAAACCTAATGCAACAGGTTTTTATCTAGAACAGGGAGAGACAGCCCAACTGGTAGCATGGGCCATCGTTACCCTCCAGCCACTCCAGCAACCATGAGCAGAGGCTGCAGCTGGGAAGAGCAGCCCTCCTTGTGGGCTGCAACAGCTGGCTGGAGCAGGCGATCAGCCCACCATTAGCAAAACACAAACTGGATGAAACAGCTACAGAATCAGCATTCTCTTAATAAAATGTGGACTAGATCGGATGTTTTCAGGCTGGATCTGGCCTGCGAGCCATAGGTTGCCAACCCCTGATCTACAATATACCTGCTGAAGTCAAATTTTGGAAGGAAGTAATGACCATAACTAGGTAGTAATGACTGTTATACCCTCTTTATGCTTGCCTAGTATTCTGCTTGTCTTTCCAAATATACAGGCTCTAAATTAACTATGTCTATAAGAGTCAGTGTCCTTTGTTCACCAGAAAGTCTGCTTAACCCAATTTCCCTATTTCGCTGAGGAGTTCTGTGTGATGTGATCGGGGGATAAAGTGTCAGCCATGTTAACAGTTGTGTCTCCAGAGGTTAAATTGCATCCATGTCAAGGTGGCATTATGAGGAATTGGGAGGGGTACTTGAGCAACAGCAAATAACTGTGGTCCCTTTCCTCATACAGGACTTGGTTTTCAAGCTTGACTCTGTGGTACACCACTGGAATAGAAGTGTGTGACTTCAGTGCACACAGTGTGCTAAATCTTGAGAAGAATAAATGTGACCTAAAATAATCTAACCTTTGTTTGTAGGTCAGGCTATTCCTGCAGGGTTACATGTGCGATTAAATCTTCAAACAGGAGAAAAAGAAGCCAAACTTCCAGATAGCACAAATGAAAAAAGTGACATGAAAGACCAGAAAAAAAGGAAAAGGTACGGAAGAATGAACTGCTTGTCTTTTTGCTCTATAGAGGTACATGGGGTTTTGATTTTTGTTCCTTTTATTAGGAGCCAGAGATCCCAGGGAGTTTAACTGGAGTTTTGGGTGCTCAGCATTTAGAAAATTGGGGCCTAACTCTGTTGCTTCCTTTTGACATAGGTAGCAAAATGCCTTTCTGATGTATTTGGAGAGATGTTCATAGATTTTCATGCCATGATTCTGAAACTGAATCTGGCATGTAGTTTCTAGTGGATATCCTTTGTTTGTTTAAATCTTCTGTAGCAGTGGGATGAAAAATATTTTTTGAGAACTTTATGCAGAACGGCATCTTAGAGTACACTTTGTTTATTCTACTTCAGAGTCAGATGCAACATGTTCTTTACTTGCTGTTGTGCATCAGCTCTAAGCATTCATTTAAATGTCAGGCCTTGCTGACACACATTCAAGATGTCACTAGCATTTACTATATCAATTTTTATAAAATTGTCTAAAATATGCAGCTTGCACCCATGGTTCCCTGTGTGCAGTTTTTACAGAGACAGATTTTGTGACCATAGGAAGACTTCTTTTTCTTCAATATACTAGTGCTGCCATTCTGTGCCCCCTGCCAAGTGTGCAGAAGCTTGCTCATTTTGGGAAATCCCAGCCTTTAGGTTTCCTTTTACTAGTGCAAAAGCACATGATACCAAAATTAGTTGCTTTAAATGTGTAGGAGGAGGCTGGGGCAATTCATGAAGAGTAGCACACATTGTTTCCAGGAGAGCATGTTTCCCTTTTGATTTTTGAATTACATGCTGCCCAACCCTATGTTTTAGTTATGAGCTGGGATCCGGATTTTCTGTGGAAAAATGCAGAATTTTTTTCCCTTTAAAGCAGCAAAATGTAGGAAACCATGGATTTCCCCTTATAGGCTGGCAGAGTTCCAGCCTGCAAGGGGCTACTTGGGCCTGGGGGAAGTAGGATGTAAGGGGCACCACGTACATGTGTGCGCACATGCACATGGCCAGCAATACAGTCAAGCAGCAGCTCCCCCTGCTGCCAGCAGGTTAGTCTATGGCAAGAGGGGCACAGTGTGGGCAGTTTGAGATGGCAGTAGCCACAGCGAGGGATAGATTGGGGCAGGGTTTCATCTGGGGCTGGAGGCAGTGCCTGGGCCGGAATGCACAGCTGCAGGGCCCGGTGGGGGGATCAGGACAGAGATCTGCACATGCACCCACAGCAGGCACGTGGCTGCAGCCTGCCACCTCTGTGGCCTGGTGGGTGGGGCCCGGTGCAGGATTGCAGTGCAGGGCGGGGAGGTTTGGTGCTGCTGCCACCACTGCCAGGATCCCCATGCCAACTGCACCACCATGGCAAGGCACCCCCTGCCCACCCAGTAGCAGTGGGGGTGGCAGTGGCATGGAGTTGTCTCCCCTCACCTGCCTGCTGCTGCTGGGTGGGAAGGGGGTGTGCCTCACCATGGCAGTGTGGCTGGCACCGGGCTCCCAGCTGTGTTAGCGGTGGCACCAAGCCTTCCCGTCCTGCCCATTGGGTTGCAGAGGCCCCTAGGTGGAGGACAGCTAGGTGGGGAGCCTGAATTGTCCCCCACCCTTGCTTCTCATAGGCTCTGCTCGGGTGTGCACCAGCTGTGCTGCCTGTGGGGGTGCAGGGTTGAGGGGCCCAGGCTCTGCTTTGGCTGTGGCAGCTGGGGCTCAGGTGCTGCTGGTCAGCTGCGGCTGGCACCCACGAAGCAGAGAGCGGGCAGGTTGCAGCCGCTAGGTCCTATAGCCCTGGCAGCTGCAGGGGGACAGGGGGCTGCAGGTTGAGAGTAAGGGGTCCTGGTGGGGATGGGAGGGCTGTGGGTTAGGAGTGAAGGGCACCAGCAGGGCCAGGGGGCTGCAGGTTGGGCGTGAGGGGCACTGGCAGGGATGGAGGGCTGTGGGTCAGGACTGAGGGGCAACAGCATGAGCAGGGGCAGAGCACTGGCATATCAGGTCTGCTCAGTGCCTCAAGGCAGCGGGCAGGGCCAGGACAGCCAGAGCTGGACCGTTGTCCTGGTGAGTGAGAGGGGTAGGTGTAGCTCTGATTTGCCATGATGAAAAAAAAATAATGCCAAAATATTTTATTTTATTATAATAATTGAGACACTGTTAGTTTTCCAAATTGCTTTAAAATGGTAAATATATCAATAAAACAGAGAATTTGGGGGGGTTTATCAGAAAATTTGGGATTTTTAAACTGAGAAAACCTAGATCCCTGCTTTCAGCTCTGGAACGGAATGCACCCATATCTTACGAGCATATGGTCTTTGACAGTTCTGGGGACAACTGTGCTACTTTTTGTTTGTTTATAAAATATTTCCTAGATTATATATCCCTAAATGGTAGCCAAGGGCCATAAATTGAAACTATTTTTATTGTATGTTAGAAACTGAGATTCTGGGTTTGCATATGGCTTTCCAAACTTTCACATATGGATTTCCAAACTATCACAGCAGATCAGTGTTTGTCATGGCAACTGTCAGTACCTGGTCCATACCAGGGAAACTAATGATCCTCCTAGTGAACCAAATTCTGCAATCTTTTCACGGAATCCCAGTGTCACTGCCATCAACCGCCCAGACATCATGCAATCCCATGGCTTTTATGCTACTGAGCCTGCACTCTGAATCTTAAAACTTAATGTTGAGGGTCTTTTGGTTGCCAAGCAAAGATCACTGTGAAAGGGTCTTAATGCCACACTTCAAACTTAAGCACTGGACATTACTTGTAGCATTAACTTGCTGGTATGTTATATACAATATATGGGGAAATTCTAGTTCTCAGTATTTTATCCAGGAAAAGGTTCATTGCTGTGTTGTTCTTTCTTCCTTAAAAAAAATAATTATTCCCCTATATAACAAAAGTTTTGTTTTTTCTGCAAGGCTGGACAAGGTGGATATTGACTCAAATTCGTTTACATCACAGGAACTAAAGGAGGCTTTGGCTAAATTGAAGGAAAATGAAAAGACAAAAAGCACAATGGAGGTAAAGGTATTCTTCATTGTTAAAGCAATCTGTGTGACACTGGTATGAATGCTCTGCGTAGCTTGCATTAAAAAACAAAATAACATGCTTAGAACTGTTGCTAGAAAACTTCCTGTATTTACCAGAATACAAGATGAGCCTGAATTTAAGACGATGCTTAGATTTATACATGAACAATTTGTAAGACAGGCAATGGAGCAGGCAGTAAGGGGGTAGGCAGATCAGGAGGCAGGGGGTGGCACTCTTGCTTTGACACTGGCAGGCTCCATCCCTGCTTCAACTTGGGGCATAGATCATAGCTCCCACCTGTCCTCATTACAGTCATGCCAGCTCCATGCTGCTATGGGGTCAAGTGGTGGCTGTGCTCTGTGGTCCAAGCTTGAGCAGTGGTGGAACCTGCCTGCACTGGAGCGAGGGCAAGGGCAGGGTGGTGGGAGAGAGGGGGTTGTGGGGCAGGGGCCTGAAGCTTCCGGGAGGCAGTGGAGGGAGAGGCAGGGGGTGCAGAGGCAGTGGAGCTACAGGTTTTTTTTTATTTTAATGTTTATTCTTTTGGCCTTAAAGGCCTTTGTACAGTACTTTGGTACTTCTGTATTTATACCTAGAGCATGCCATTTTCTTGATAATGAGTATTTTATTAGTTCTCCCTGAAGAAGGTGCCAGTTTTTGTTTCTTACCATGTGGCCATATGTGCACTTTAGAAGTGCACTTGGGTCACCAGTCCAGCAACAGAACAACCATTTAATGGTGATGTCTTTTGATCACTAGCCACCTGAGCCATATTTGAACCAGAAAACTGGAAGTTGAAATCTCAATATAACCAGCCCCACAAGCCACCTAAATGCCAGATGTAAGGTCTTATGGACACTCTTCAAATGATGCTACAAATGAAATGGCAGAAGTCTCTTATAAACCCAAAGTTAGGACATCAGTAGCATTTCTGATGGGATGCTGCTTCCTTATCGTTTCTGATTGTGCATCATTATGATTAGATCTGAGTAACAGTGCTGTTCACAAACACTTTTGTGATGTGTGGTGATTTTTCTCACTGCTGTTCCTTTTGTTTTCCTGCTGTTCATTCTTTTGGCTTGCTTGGTTGAATGTCAGTTTGTTTTGTGTGTCATTTTATCCAATGACTCATTAAGACAAAAAAATGCATAAACAGTTTTGGAAGCAGGGACCAGGACCCAAGACTTCTGGAGGAGTGCCCTCATCAGTGGGCTGCAGAGTCAGACTCACTTTGGCTTTCTCTGACCCTGTGGATCTTGAGTTCCTTCCTACGTAACAGCCCACTTTAAAGAGGAGGGATGGAAGGTGTTCTCCTCCCCATACCCCAACTGTTTGATATCCCCATGGTGAGGACACTATCCTGAGCAGCGGGAGATAAGTGTGAATCCCATCTGGTTGAAATGGAAATTTTTAGATGCCAAGGAGTTCTTGGACATCTGAGCAGTTAGTTTTTGTCAAGTTCTGTTTATGATGTCACCTTCTGAGTCCCCAAAATTCTGCATTTCTCATCATGGCCCCCATATATCTGTGTTGGTAGTTCCTTTTCTTGAGGATTATTTGTCTAGCATCCTGTATTGCTGATAAATGTTGTTTTTGTTTTTTGGCGAATGCCATTTAAATGTAAAAAGCAGCAGTACCCTATTGTGGGGAATAAGCCGTCTTCCAAAAAATATTTGAACACATACTCTGCCTGCAACTGAGCTAAAAACAGCTCTCTCAAATGGACCTGAAACGCTCCATTTAAAATCATTACTCCAGCAGGAACCATAGTCATCCCTGGACTAGCTCCATTGAAGGCAATTGTCCCCATACAGTCTATTGCTAAAACCTTTTTCTTTTGCTGGGGCAAGAAGTGATAGCATTTTGAATGTCAGTACCACGTGTATTGTATTTAGCAGTCAGTAGCACAAATTGTACAGCTGTCATTAGACTGACAATAACTTAACTCTCCGTGCTAAATTGTTCCCTTTGACAGCGTAAGCCCATGGATTTCTTTAGCATATATATTGAAGGTGTCATGCTGAGATTGGAAACCTTGGTTTTATAATGTCATTGTCCTACTTACAAAAACAAGTAACCACAGCATCCTTGTTTTCTGATGTCTGTTCATCCCAGAGGCTGCTTCAAAATGGACTTCCTTGTTTCTGTACATTCTCTTGGCCTCATCCTATCTTCAGACACTGCCCTCTCTGCTTCCTTCCTTCCTTCTCTTCATTCGTATAGCACCAGTCCCTGCTTTGTTCCTCTAGACAGCTAAGCAAATTTGGTGTTGGAGTTGTCTTCTGTGCAGGCACTGTGGCCTGAAAAAAACCTTCTGGAGTTTTCCTCCTCCCTGACTCGCTATCTCCTTTCATATCTTGGTTAGAATCTTCTCCTTGCCTACCACGTCTCTCTCACTAGCTCTCACTCTAATTTTGTTGAATTCAGCCACACTCTTTTAGGCTACTGTTCTTATAAGGGATGTTACAAAACAGCTGCAGTGCTGTTTTGACATCGAGCTGGGGTTTTGTTCCCAGTATTTGACAAGCTCAAAACCATTTAAAGAGTGAGTTTAATGGGGGAGGGAGGGAGGGAGGGAGGACTATAACCCCAGGGGCCTGCCTAAATACTTAGGGTAAATAACAAATTTGGTAACAAATGTGGGCAATTTGGGTGGTTCAGAGTGGATCTGCACTGCATACTGTAATGTAATGTGGAGGTAGGTAAACTATCTTTAAACAAACTAGCTGGAGTATGGGAGGGGTCTAACCATGGTAGTAAGAAGTTACTTGAAATCTAACCTGCAAGGTAAAGTAACTTATGTGGAGCTCTGTGCTGGTGGTGTTGGACAACTTTGGGTGAACAAGTTAACTCATTTGAAGTTAGCTCAGGTATCTCTCTGCTCTGTTGCTGTGAACATGGGCTCTGATGGGTTCTGTTAGATAAAGTGCTCCCACTCTGTCCTGAGCTGCTACACAAGGAAGCGGTGTGCCTTTTAACAGACTTGGAGGGTAAAGTGCCTGAATTTCATTGCTAGGTGGAAGGGTTTTGAAACATGTTCAGTGATTTGAGATCCTCTGGGATGAGAGATCATATATAAAAAAAAATTGAGAAGATGCCTTTGGTGTTTATTGAGTAAGGTAAACATTGTGGCACTTTTAGTTTTTCAGCAAATCAAGAATAACTATTCTCCCCACTTCTGTATTTTACTTAATCTTGAGAGGTGTGTAGGAGGTGGATATGCTATACAGAACACTAGCTACAGACTAAGCTATTAGGCATTGTATCTTTTTTTTCATACTAGTACCTAAGGGCCATATTTTCAAAGCCATCTGGATGTCTGTTGGGATTTTTTTCAGGAACCCCTGGGCATACTTCTCTAATTTAAATCAATTGGAGTTAGCTACTGAAGGCAGAATCCACAGTGGATTTAAACATTGTTATGATCAGCATCATGATGTCAAACTTTTTGGCCTCTAGCACCTTGGAATATAATCTAAAGCTCTGAGTCAGGCACCTAAGCTCCCTGTAGGAGAATTAAGAATGGGAACCAGACAGCCACAGCACTGAGCAGAGAGCTGCCTCCTCTTACTAATAGGAAATGCTGAGACTATGGATGTGACTTAAATTCTACCCCAATTTGAGCTGTTGGCACCCCCCTCTAATTAGGATTCATAGCCTGAAACCCTTTTCTGGATTTAGGTGCCTGAATTGTTTCCACCAAAAACAAAGGAGGTTGTTACTCTGAGGGCCTATCTACCAGACTATTGTGTAGAATAATTCCACTTTTAACTGCTGCATGGGCAAATATACATTTAAGGATGACCTGTTCCCCTAATCTACTCTTTATCATCTGCATTCACCTTTGGCATTTCTTCTCTTATTTTCAAGGCTAATCTGGAAGATGTCAGAAAAAGGTTCCGTCCCATAGAAGAGCTGAAGGCAGAATTTGAGCGACTCAACATGAGGATAGAAACTGATTACGAAATTATGGTTAAATTAATCAACAAATTCAACAGCTCTGATTCTATGCTGGATGAAAAAATAGCAGCACTTTATGATCTTGAGTATTATGTTCATCAGGTAAGGCATCAAAATCTTTTTAGCAGTGCCCATGTAAATTCCAGGGAATATGGTGTCATAAATGTGATTTTATTTTTCTTTTCAGTATTGGATAATACAAATTGTTTAATTATGACAGTCCTAGGATAATAAGAGGTTTCACAAGACTGCTTCAGGCTTATTTTATTATATATTAGCTCTAATACGTTATTATTTTTAACAGATAAAATATAATAACCATTTAACCAGAGGCTAAAGTTGCCCAATTTGCTATATGCTCTCGGCTCTTGTTTTATGTCTTCTTTTTTGCTTTTGGTTTTATGAAGATAGGTTTTATTATTATGTATGTCTGCTTTTATAAATGAAGGTGTTGGTTGGTTCCTTGATTGCCTTCTATGGTTACAAGAGTGGCTACTTCATAAATAAAATTATTTCACTTTTATTTATACTTGAAAAGCATCTGTTATTGAATGCAACCCTTTGCAATTCCTCTCTGTCTCCCCATACAGAATGCCATTATCTCAAGCTGTTTTGGGTACATGTTATCCTTCTATCTTTTTGGATCACTACATAGTTTTCCTGGCAGATCTCTGGTTCTGCCAGCAAAGCTATAAGTGTGTCCACATTTGCAGCTCTCCTGTGATGGCAGCACCCCTTTTCCTCTGCCAGCAGAGCAGTGTGAGCGCCTTGACTGACAGAAGGCTTGTGCTGCCACCCAGCAGCTGACAGAAGGCTGCTGCCAGATGGCATGGCCCCTTTAACAATGGTGCCTATCCAAGGTATGCTTTGTAGTCTGCTGGTGCAGCTGATAAATGGAACTATGGGTATATGGCAGAAGCCCCACAGAGCCACCCAGAGGCAGATTAAGACATTGGGGTCCTCAGGAAGGAGAAGATTGGGGGCTCCAGCAGGGGAAGAGGGTGCAGCTGTTGTGGAGGTATCACCCAATTCTCTCTCACTTGCTGAGGAGTTCTGGTAAGGAATGTAAGGTAAATATATTATCATATATACAACTAAATATGCAAATAAATCATCTTCTAATTTGCTTTATATTGCTCACCCTACCAGGCCAGTGAATGAGAACTGGGTCCATGCTTGGCAACACTGAGTCTGGGCATCTCTGGGGGAAAATCTAGGCATCCACAAGCCTCTAATTGGTAGAGGTCCCTGGGTCTGGGTCCTGCTGGCCTGTGTGTTAATCTGCTTGTGGGGCTACCCAGCAGCATAGTGTTTCAGGAGCTTACGTGTGAAAGTCTGGTTGTGGTGTTAGCATATGATAGCCCGGATCTCAAGGCTTGTTACTGTTAGGATTTTTGATAGCTGTTTTGATGACCTGTGTTAAGTGCATTCTTCGTCTTAGCTTGGTTCCTGTGGAACAGGTATCTACAACCCAGAACCCATTTCCAAAAGGCCAGTAGGCTTCACTGACCACCTCTTGCCTTGTCTACCTCTAGTACCAGACAGCAGCTACTACCCCCAGGCCACTAGGATGTATGTTTATCCATGTGCTTCTGGTGGCTCCCCTCAGCAGCTGTGCTATCAAAGCATGAAGTGCCTTTTGGGAAACACCAAGCGCCAAAGGTGGCAGGAGGCCTGGGAGTATCCTATACATGCCTGCTGCTGGACGGTGAAGGAAGCCTTGCTGCTTGGCTGAAGTGAATTAACTTTGCCAGCAGAATGGAGGGTTCTGCCACCAAAGAGGAGCTTTGGGCATAAAGCTCTGTTAGCTTAGTTTCATACTGGAAATCAGTTCCAGAAACAAAAAGAACTGAGGATGAAGGGAGTAACATTAAGGCTTTGTCTACCCATGAAAGTTTGCTTGGGGATTTTATTTGTTTGTTTGTTTTTGATGTAACCTAAGGGGTGAATTTAAACCAGTTTCATTATGCAGGTGTAACCCTCTTATGCACACTTTCAATCTAGTTTGAGTAGGCTGATTTTCATTTTAGTTTTTTCTTTGGGAAAAGCTTTGTGCTATACTGAAAATAGCTACTCGTACCAGAATAAGTATGTGCAAGCAGGCAGGTACTGCTGTAACCATATCTGTATAACTATATTGGAATAGCTAGTTAATCTTTCCCATATACACAGGCTGTTGAAGAAGTGGCCAGTGCCTAAGGTACCAACAAAAAGTCTATATCCTAAAATTACCCAAAGGCAAGTGGTTCTCCTATTCCTCTTGACTTGTGTTTGGGAGCTGTACTTGCCTGTAACTCAGCTGTTGCCTTTGTGCAGTCTTTCTCCTTTATATTCTGTTTCCCACAGCAGCCGCATGCAGAATGCTACTGATGAAAAGTCTGCTTCAGGATGAAGGTGGGGTAGAAAAATTGGGTGAGGATAGATTGAGATTGCAGTTGAAGAGAGGTTGATTGTAGCAGACTAGAGGCTTGGTAGACCTTGGAGACTGAAATGTTTTCCCAAGTCTTCTGGCAGTGTGGCCCTGTTATATTAGCTTAGGCAGAGTGGGGAAAATTGTAGTGCTGCTATCCATGCTGTACCCTTTCTGGGGACAAGAGGTTGGTCTCCAGAGATGGAAACTAAAAAACTTCTCACCAGCAGGAAATTAACTTAAAGAACAAGTTTGCTTTCTTTTCTTTTCTTTTTCTTTTCCTTTTCCTTTTCTTTTCTTTCTTTTTTGTTGTTGTTGAGAATTTAAAGTTTTACTTCTCAAAAGTAAAAATGGGGTGATGAGAAGCAGAGCCCATCTGCTGAGATTCCTTCAAAAGGAAATTGCATATATGTATTATTCTAATGTCCTTGTTCTCCTATTTCTATCCTGAATCTTTCATATACACTCAGAGTTGCGTACTCTTTGTTCCCAATATATCTGTCACCATGTGCATTTGTCTTACTCAAAGAATGAATGTGGACTGCAGATGTCCTGCAGGCTGGGTATTTACCCTTCAGAACCAGGGAAACCAAATTTTAGTCTCTTAATTTAGAAATACTTGTGTAGATGGTAACAGACCACTGCTTTCTGGTTTGTTGAATGGAATCGTGCCCCAATCCTAACACACAGATGGCATCTGAATAACCAAAGAAAGGGAATGGGGACAAAACAGTGTAACTAGAGTAACAGGACTCTTCTGTGCCTTGACCACAGCGTTTGTATGTGACACAGCTGTTGGTGCAGATTGTGGGTGGGTAGTCCCTCTTCATCAGCCAGGTGGTTGATAAGAAGTATTACTTACCCCTCAGAGGGCCTGGTGACTGCTTTTCTTTTCTTTTTCTTGCTAGTTGTTTGATACTAACATCAGCAATGCTTATATAGAGCTGCCAAGTACAGTTGTGTAGCAATGTACACAAAAGAATTAACCAGGCAGGAATTTTCGGTTCTGTAACTCATACCAGGCTAATGGGATCTGAGTAGCAATCTTAGCAAGACACTACAGAAGGATGTTATGGCAAGTAGCCAGACCTGTGCAGACCTATTGAGGATACAGTATTAGGCTCCCTTACCGTTGCTTTTTAAGGTAACGGTCCAGAAAGTCTTTCAGCCTCCAGTTTGATCCCTCATGGTCTGCCCTGCTGTTGCTAATATTTTGGCCTCATGGGTCTTTCCTATTACTAGTTCCTCAAAGTACAAAATGTATTGTGGAGGTGAAGTCCAAGAATGGAAAACCTTGTGCATGCTGAGATTTCTTAGCAGAGGGTTGTGGTGCTCTCTGAGGAGCAAATCGCAGCAGAATTCTAGGGCGGTGGCAAGCAGAGCAGCATCTGTACCTCAGCAGCAGCGGAGACACCTCACACGAGCTGAGTTCATCCTTAATGTAACCAGGGAGGGAGCAGCGGAACAGGGTCAGGGATTGGATTGCAGCGTGTGCAGACTTGGATCAGGCGACTTTCCCAACAATGTGCTCTTGAACAGAGGCGCAGGGCTGGGGCACACGTTTTGTCTAGCTCTTTATTTTTCCATTTAGGATTCACTCAGCATGGACTGAGGCTTTCGGGTGATAGCTAAAAAGGATGATGTGCCCTGTTATCTCTAACATGCACAAAACATGCAAAGAGGAAGAAAACCAAGCATAACTCACTTAAAGCTAATATATTTGCTCACCAGCAGTCACCATTTTTTTTCTTTCTCCATTATTTATCCTTCTTTCCTTTTTTTCTCTCTCCTCCCTCCAAAACTGCTTCCAGTGTTAATTGCTTCTCCTTTCTGTGTTATTGGCATTTGTTGTTTCTCCTCTTCTCTTTACTCTCACTTTTTCTCCCTTTTCTGTCTTCCCAAATGTTCCTTCTGTGACTCCTGTCATATGCCCATCTCCCGTACCCCGAACTGTGCTCCATATTTATTTACTGGAGAGCTCTCCTGGTCTTTGGCTTTCTTCTGCCCTCTTTTCAGTGGACTGGAGTGAAGCTCCAGCTGACTGCATCACAGTTGTTCAGCAATGCATTCCCAGCTCTCCAGGGAAGTTCTTGCATGATTTTTTTTTTAAAGGTAACTGAGAGGAGTAGTGCTCTCAGCAGACTCCAACAAATAAGCTAAGGTTAAAAAATAATTTTTTAGTGTTTTTACATTGTTTTAGCAATTTTTATTCTAGGCTTATTACTGGGAGGTCTTTTACCAGAACTAGAGCTAACCTATAAGACTTGCTCAATAAGCTTATTGTATACACACACATGGAAAGTATAAATTAGCCATGCTGTTTCTCCTACCATCTCAGATTTTTTTCTTCAATTTTAGTTTTATGTACTAGAATTTACAGTTATTGGGTAATAAAAGTAAATGCACTATGAGATAAGATTAGTTTGCTGGGTAGATCTCTGTGTAGAGAAAGGTCAGCTTAGAGGAAGATGAAGTGGACTATGGAAAATTATCTTTCTCATGCCCAGTTTAGAATTCCTGGTGTTCTGTTTGCACCTCCATCATGAAAGGGGAATGGGGAAATTCCAAAGCCAAAAGATGGCAAGATTAAAAAAATAAAATAAAAATGGGTTTTGTAAACTCCTTTCTCTTTTAAAGGAACAGATACTCTATCAGGGGCGGGCAAAGTCTGACCTGTAGGATGGATCTGGCCAGCACTGGACTCAATTTCCCAGCAGCCCCTACCCACATGGCTGGCAGAGCAGGGCAAGGGGCTGCTCTGGAACCGCTGGTTTCCTGTAGTGGGGGTAGCTTGATCCGGAGCCAGGGCAAAGCTGCAATCTCAGCCTGCATGCTCTGGGTAGGGGTGCTACAGGCAGTAGATCGTGACTCTGTCCGAGCTCGGGACCACATTGTCACCACTGCAAGGAGCTGGGGCAGAGCTGCAATCTGCAGCCTGCATACTCCGGGCAGGTGCATGCAGACAGCAGATTGTGGCTCTGCCCTGGCACCAGACCAAGCTACCCCTGCTGCAGGATCCCAGTGTCTCCAAAGCAGCTCCCTGCCCTGCCCTATTGGCACACCCTGCCAGTGCAGCTGGGGCCAGTCTCCATGGAAACCTCAACTTTGCCCATGCAGGCAGGGGCTATTGGGAATGGAGTCCAGCTGCTGGCTGGATCCACCATTTTGCCCAAACCTGCACTATATGATGTTTATAAACTGTTTGACGCTGTCCCTGTAAATTTGTATTGCAAACTAGTTGTGTAGACAATTTTGTAATGTTACAATTCAATGCTGATGATTTCTTTCCCAAAAGTTCCATAAGAGTAGCTTAAAATCTATTTCAGGAATATTTTTGAATGTAGGATTTGCCATAGCTGAGTGGTTCATCTACTTGGAACAATTTTTTCTGATGCTAGTTAGTTTAGTACTGGCTGCTTCTGAGGAAGGGGCAAGAATCTGCAACCAGCAGTTACAGGTTAACCTGCCTCTGGAGAAGTTTCTTGCTAGCCTCCATTAATTAGAGCTTCCAAGTTAACATAGAACTGTGGCCAGTATTAGTGTAGAAAGTCTGCAGCAGTTTCTCTCTTGCTCCAACCTAGCTATTTTAGAATGTGTAGCAAGTGCACTATTGCTGCTGCCAGACTACTAGACAATTATTTCAAACCCTTCAAGCTTGCCAATTGGAGCTCTCTTTTTATATTTGTATAACTTACAATTCCCTGGGTTCCCAATAGTGCCCTTCTGGGGTGAGAGAAAGGGGAACTTATTTTGTTTTGACAGCATCAGATTTCCTTAGTTAACCACATGTGTCAGAGGAAAGTTTTGATGCCTAATCAAATTTATTTGAAATTTCAGTGATGTGTTCTGTATTTGATAACAGCCACCTGTTAGTATATATTGTTTTTGTAAATGTAGAGTCTGATGCTTTTAGACAGCATTGTATGAAGTATGAGCCAAAATTTTAATATTTAATTTTCAGATGCTTTTCAAACAAAATTCAAGTTTAAACTTAGAAGAGATTTGGTCGATTTTTAAAGTTTGTTTATTTAGATACTGTTCAGATTTTATACCATTTGCATATCTGTGATCTTTAACAACAGTGTGGAATCTATTCCTTCATAGGTGGACAATGCTAAAGACTTTCTTTCCCTGGGTGGACTTCAATTAATGATTAATGGACTAAATAGTACAGAGGCTGTGATGAAGGAGCATGCTGCCTTCGTCTTGGGAGCTGCATTATCTAGGTGAGTGTGTGTGTGTGTGTGTGTGTGTGTGTGTGTGTGTGTGTGTGTGTGTGTGTTAGAGAGAATGGGGTTGGGCCGAATGAGAGAAGATACCTCCAAGAAAACAGACGTTCTAACTGCTTTTCTTTATCTCTTTGACTAGATGAGAATTCTCTGTAGTGCCTAGTATCCAAAAAAAAAAATAACCCAAGGCTGATTACAGTGTTCGCACTAAAGATCTGTTCCTTTTCCTCTCCTTCATTTAATCTTTTCTGCATAAACAGTTCACTGTTTAATAGTGAGATGGTGACTTGAGGCACTCTACAGTCTTCTGGAGTAACTAAAGCTGAAGCTTTTAAATCTAGGAGCCTATATTTGCAATGAAACTTGCATGTACTAATGAGTTCAGGGTGACTTGCATTGGAATGGGTGCCAGGAAACAAAATAAACAACAGGTTGATCTGAAAGGTGTTTGCAATTTGCTTAAAGATTGCTATTGTTGAAAGTTCTCTCTTTTTCCCCCTCATACTATATAGTGCTGTACCATTCTTGAAAGTGTACAAATTTTGGTAGGATGGGTTTTATACTGATGGATTTTTGTTTTAACAAATTCTTTTGGGTTTTAGTATTAATGTTTGTGTATATGTTGAGCTAAAAAGTATGGTTTATTAATCAAACACTCACAAATCAAGAAATATGGAGTGCTTGCTGAAAGCCAAAAACTTGATGATAATTTTGTCTGCTTGTTCTTATGTTTTCAAATATGGTCACTTTACATCAATATAAATGATTTGTCATTTAGGATAGCATATAAAATAAACTCTAGAATCATTTAGACAATCTGACATACAGTGGACCAGACCTTCAGCAGCTGTAGATAAGCAGGCCTCCCCTGGTTTCAGTTGAGTTAGGCTGATTTAAACCAGCTAATGGTCTGACTTGCTGTTTTCAGACCAAAAATTCAAGCTGTGTCTTGGTGATATCCTCAAAAATAAGCCCCTTTTTTTTTTTTTTATCACGCTCAACAAGTGATAGATTGGTTTCTTTGGAAAGTCTCTCTCAAAGGAAATGCAGCCCCTTTCTTCATATCTTGAAATATGTTAGAGTATAAATTGCTGACTCCTTGGTAATGTGTAGAATCTTAATTGTAACTTTCATAGCTAGAGAGTGATGCTCTATCTGAGAGAGGAATCTGGGAACATTTTGAGGCAACCTGAAAGAATTAAATAGCATATTCCCTGACTATAGCTAAAACAACACAATCATGATGGAGGAAATTAATTATCTTATAATCTGAATGTGTATCACTGGCCACTAAAGTCTGTATATTGTTTCTCACTAAATTAAAAATGCATTCTGTTGAGCAGAAGAGTATATTTTTTAAATATGGTGAAACTAAAAAATTGTTCCTGGAAACACTGAGGGGGGGGACGTTGTTTTTTTAAAGACATTCGGAAACATGGTACATTGACTGATACTCTGATTCCCAAATTTGAGGAACTCTTTATGCTTTTTTTCCTGGCATTGCTTAAGCTTTCTTATTAAATAGACATTTGTAATATCAACTTCTGTATTTTGTGATATCTGCTTAATTTCTTTGGTGCTTGTCTCTGCTCCATTTCAAACTGCCTTGGTAGTTGGCACTTGTGAAGCCTCTCCTGGAGTACTGAGAGATGTAGACAAACTGAAAAGGGTCCAGAGGAAGGCAACAGAAAATTTGATTAGAGGCCTTGAAAACCATGATGTATGAGGAAAGGTGGGAAGAACTGGAATTGTTTAGTCAAGATCAGAAGATTGAGCATTCTTATTGTCTGCAGGGGTCAGGACAAAGAGTAACAGTCTTAAATTGCAACAAAGGAAACCTAGATTAGCTATTAGGAAGAACTTTTTCACTGGGGGTCTGTAGCAGGAGGCTTGGTGCTCCTGCTACTTTTAAGAGCAGGCAGGTGGCAGAGCAGGTGGTAGGTGTGGCAAGAGACAATCCGGGGTCACATGGCCCAGAAGGGAGTTGGGCTTAGAAAGGATATAAGCCCAGGCCCTGAGCCTAGCAGGCAGTAGGGCCCTGGAGGCCACTGAGAGAGCATCGTCTAAGCAGGATGGCTGCAACTTCTAAATGCCAGCAGCCTGCAGCAGTCTGGAGTTTTGGGGGTAGGGACTAAGGCAGGGGTGGGCAAAATACAGTCCGCAGGGCCCCTAAAAAATTTAGAAAATTAATATTTATCTGGCCTTGGTTCCTGTCAAAAATGACAGGAGCCAGGGGCAGTAGGACCCAGGGGAAGCCTTGGTGGGCTCCTTCAACAGCAGGGCCTGCCTGGCCCACCCCCGCCAGCTAGAAGCCCCAGCAGGGGCTTCTGGCCTGGGGCCATGCGTCTGCCCTGCACCAGAAACTCAGGTAAGGGAAGAGAGGTGGGGGAAGGGCAGGGGAGGGCCCCAGGCATGGAAGGACCCCGGGGGAAAAACAGCACAGGGAAAAGCGGCCTTTCCCCCACCCCGTGGCCGGTGCTCCCTGCTGCAGCTGCTCGCAGCCCACGTGAGGCTCTCCTGAGCAGGCACAGACAGCCCCATGTGGGCTGTGAGTGGCTGCAGCGCAGGGTGCCGGCCACAGGGTGGGCGATGGGCCACTTTCCCCCCCACACACTCAGCACCAGCTTGTAACCTGCCCACGCAGCCAGCCTGGGCCCCGCGCCGGTTCTGGGCACGCCCATAGGGGCTGCGTGCAGCAGCTGCAGCCCCCCGGCCTGCCCCCCCCGGC